TGAACACAAAAAACGTAGTCCAGACTGAATTAGACGCAATGCTAGAGATGGGGGTAATAGAGGAATCCAACAGTGATTGGGCGAGCCCTATAGTTTTAGTGCCTAAAACGCTAAAACGGATCCGGTTCTGTGTGGATTATCGCAAGGTGAATGCTGTGTTGAAGTTCGACGCGTATCCAATGCCGCGGGTCCGCGGGTTGCTTGATCGGCTGGGCGCTGCTCGATTTTACTCAACACTGGATTTAACGAAGGGATATTGGCAGATCCCCTTATCTCCAATGTCCAAAGAAAAGACGGCCTTCACCACGCCGTTTGGATTACACCAATTTGTAACACTTCCTTTCGGGTTGTTCGGGGCCCTGGCCACCTTTCAGCGACTCATGGACCGGATCCTCCGACCGCATGCGGCACATGCAGCACCTGCGGGCGGTCCTGCGGTCGCTGAGGGAGGCCGGGCTGACGGCCAACCCGAAAAAGTGTGCGGTTGGGCGGGTGGAGGTAAGGTATCTGGGCTTCCACTTGGGCCACGGGCAGGTGCGTCCCCAAATTGATAAGACGGCGGCCGTTGCGACCTGTCCAAGACCCAAGACCAAAAAGGAGGTGAGCCAGTTCCTGGGGCTGGCGGGATATTATAGAAGGTTTGTACCTAAGTATTCAGACCTCACCAGCCCGCTGACTGACCTCACTAAAAAGGAAGCATCAGACCCGGTCCAGTGGACGGAGCAGTGCCAGCAGGCTTTCACCCAGGTAAAGGCTGCTCTGTGTGGCGGGCCGCTCCTGCACTCCCCTGACTTTTCTCTCCCCTTTTTGTTGCAGACCGACGCGTCGGACAGGGGGCTGGGAGCGGTCCTGTCCCAGGAGATAGAGGGGGAGGAACGGCCGGTGCTGTACATCAGTCGGAAGCTCTCAAAGAGGGAGACGATGTACAGCACCATTGAGAAGGAATGTCTGGCAATCAGATGGGCCATCCTCACCCTCCGTTATTATCTCCTGGGACGGGAGTTCACCCTCTGCTCGGACCACGCGCCCCTGCAGTGGCTCCACCGCATGAAGGATACCAACGCGCGGATCACCCGTTGGTATCTAGCATTGCAACCCTTCAAGTTCAAGGTGATCCACAGGCGTCTTTCTGCGTCTTGTCATGTGGGTGTATGTGCGTACGTCATTCGTTAGTGTTTGCAGCTGGTGCTCAATCAGAGCGTGCCAGCTGCAACTCGTTAGCGAGTCCTTTATAGGTCGCTCTGTTCAATGTGTGTTTGTCGGTTCGTTATTCTCATGTTCCTGTCTCCCTGTCAGTTCTCTGTTTCCAGTTCTCGCTCAGTCAGGGTACGGATCTTCCGCCTTCTCCTTGGTTTGGTCAACGCAGTGATTGAGGGGATTTCTCAGTGGAGCTCTGATTCTGACCAGGACCCGAGGATTATCACCTTGTGTCTCCGTTATTGTGATTACTAAATAAACCTTACCTTTGCACTCACACTTGGATCCTGACTCTTCTCTGCCGTGACAGGGTGCTTCTACTAAATACTGAGCAAAGGGTCTGAATATTTAGGACCATGTGATATTTCAGTTTTTCTTTTTTAATAAATCTGCAAAAATGTCAACAATTCTGTGTTTTTCTGTCAATATGGGGTGCTGTG